AGCTGTCGTGTACTTACACCAAAAACTACAAACGGATCTTAATAATTAATGGCTCTATTCAAGGAGGAAATACGTGTATAAGCATTAATTGTGATACAATGCATGTATATTTACTGGCGTATACATATATATATATATATATATATATATATATATATATATATATATATATATATATATATATAAATTATATATATACATGTATACAAATAATACAACTGCAATTTGTTTATTAACTATACCTATAGAGAACATGTCAAATGCAGCTTTTCAGTTATTACTTGTCATTATAGAATTCTTAATAATAAACACAAGCACTAAAACGGTGATTAAACAATTTCCATCTCTTTCTCACGATATTTATAGGTTTTAGATATAGAGAGGTAGTGATGTTTTTTTCTGAGTAATTGTGGTCTAAGATTTTGTGATAACACTCGGGAATTTAAGAGATGTACAAGAAGATTGTTTGATAGCTATGCTCTGATTGTTTAATATAAACTAGGTATTAAGGAAACTAATAATTATCTAGAACTATATTTTAGATTTAATAGTCCCGAACCTCCAATTAAACTACATCAGCAAGTATTTAGCGATACCAGAGAGCAAAAAAATAAAATAATTATATCAATTAATTCACGTCATAAATACTGAAATCACCCACTTCACGTCGCCTTTTCAAGGCCGAAGACCGTGAGATTTTGTTTTTGATATCCAGTTCACCGGCAGTGTGGTCGACTCGGAAATTAAATGATAAATTCACATTGTGAACTTTCTGTGCCCTTGCCAAAATCTGTCCTCCATTTGCACATATGTTTGCATTTTTAACATAACTTTAAAGTCGAATGGTCGTACATAAATGTCAAGAAAAGACACATCCTTCTCTATGTATATTTGTTTTGTCTCTTGATTGATTTCTTAAGAGAATCGACCTAAAGAGGTAATGGCCGTTCGCCATCGTAAACCAGTGGTGAAATAAAACTAGCATTGATTTAAACTTTCGGTTGATCTATTCTCGAGATAAAGGCGTTATTATTACAAAAAAAGTTTTTAAGATAAAAAATACTAATATGATTCTCCAGTCGTTATCAAGCACTATAATCCTAAACGTGTCTTGTGTGTATTTCAAGCATAACACGATATAAAATTATAAAATTTTGGCAGTCCTGTAATAAAATAACGGACTTGACTAATTTGATTATAATTTGATAATCCATGTTGACGGAGCTATATAACTTCAATTGGGAAGGTAAAGGGGGATTATAAGCTTATGTCAAAAGAGGGATTATAAAAGATACAATCAATATATTGTTAGATTACCAGCGTATGGGACTCATTTAGAGCGTGTCACCCACATGATTGGATTTACCAATGCAAGAAGATTAAATAGCTTCAAGCCATCTACATACAATAGTAAATCCCCTTAAGTTTGACCCCTACCGGGTTATTTTGAATAAATTATGCATTCAGTTCGCCGGGTTAATTCTATTTACTATTTTTGTGCGGTTATGCATAACGAATAATTATCTTAATGTACATTAATCGCCACAATTTTACGGATATGGACACAATTATATCATTCTAATTTTGAAAGCTAGAAGTTCAAAGAGTTAACTTTAAAATAGCTGGTTTAACATCTGAATGAATTATTTTTTTCCCGTTTCCTTATGTTTTTTTTTTCTTTTACTATAATCATGATCATAGATTAACTTCCCTATTCGTTTTATGTCCCATTTGTAAATAGTATGTCTTTTATTTGAGAATGCATCTGGTCTTGTAATAAAACGTTCTCGATAACGTACAACTATTTAAAAGGGTTGGTATCTAAGCTGAGTCATCTTTTTTCACTTTCCGTTTGGTTAACACATTAGTTGTATCTGAATAATGTTATATTATGGAAGTGGTATAATGTGTTTTATAATTCCATCTTGGCAAGTCAGGTAAACGTCAGTGCCATTGTAGTCTTACATAAACTATTTATTGAAATTATATTGTGCATAATTGGTTTGGATATTAAACCTTTGGAACGGCCATTGGTCCTCCTCCGCAACAGTGGAGACGCAGGTAAGGATTATTTTAAAGTAGCTCAGACGTTTGATTTAAACACGCCTTGGGTTACGATGACTATCTACATGTACGGCTACTGCCACCTGGTGTTCTATTAATAAACTTCACTGGAATCTAGGTATGTAACGAACTAAATCGTTTAATCTTCCACACAAACAGATTACAGGTGTAACAGTCGTGGTGTGAATCCAGTTTACGTTTCTCGCTTTAATACATGGGGATTTATACACCACTGATATACCTGGGCTCAAACATACAGGTAATATATATATAAGACGTGGGACCTAGTTAAACTATATGTATCATTATGTTGCTTTAGGGAATATGGACAGTTGTAGGATACCTATACCAAAGGCACAGGGCCATAAAGTGGATGATTTATTTTGATTAATGTCTAAATATAGCTGTAAGTGTTTAGATTAAAATCGAGAGGCTTGGTTAATTGCAATTCACGCTGTTTGTAACATTCTTTTGTTTATTGTTTGAATTTGAATAATTTGATTTCATTCACTGCTGAGTGTATAATCTACATCACTTGATATTTGGTATTAAGTTATTTTTTCTTTTTTAGAAATTGAATATTTTGGTTAATTGTAATTCACTTTGTATCATTGAATATAAAGATTTTGTTTATTGTTTGAATTTGAAATATTTTATAAATCATTTTTGAGTGTATAATCTACATCACTGGATCTTTGGTATGAGGTTATTGGTGATAACCATTAAGTTACCGGTGATATTAATACGTTATTGGTGATGGCTATTACGTTATTGGTGATAACTGTTACGTTATTGGTGATAACCATTAAGTTATAAATAATTTTTGAATATGTTGTGCTTAAAAGCAGTTATTTGGATTTTTTTCCGAAATTGGATATTTTGTTTGATCTTTGTTATTCAGTCGGTTATAGGCGATGAATCATTAAAATGTAATGTATAATATAGTTTAAAGTTTGTATAATGCCCGGGGTGATTGTTATATCTCTTTTATCTCTGGAGTAAGGTGGTAAACTTTATAGAGTAATCTAATTGTGTATGTATATCTGTACATTGTTTGATCATACTTATCAGTTGGACCGGCGGAATTAAAAGCGACGTTGTCATTTATTTTGTGAGATTTTGAAATATTGACAGAACGTCTTTAGGTGTGGACTAAAGTTAAGATAAATGGAAGCATATAGATATCTTGTATATGTTGATAGTTAAAAGCGACATTATCGTTTATTTTGTGAAAAAATTTTATACTAATGACAGAATGCAAGAGCTACATTTGCCTATTGCAGGTCTTTCTTTAGGCCTGAAATGTTTTCTAAATTATTAATTAGACATTAATTAACTTATCCAGGCCATAACCAACTCTCGATGTCATTGGATTTCTCCGATATTAAATAGATTAGAACAGTTCAGCCATATTTTGATTTAAGCTAAAAATGGAGGAGCGAAACTTAGCTTCGCACAACCAGTACGGTGGTTAAAATTACTGCACACGTCTTGTCAAACCTTCAAAAGCTAATATCTTCGCTCGCAATAGAGTAATTGGAATGAATATTTTCAAATTATTCATTTTACATTATCTATTTTCGACTATTATAGCAAGAATGGCTAGCTCTTTATCTTAATCTTACATAATGTATCTTTAAGATTTGGACTACGTGTACGTACACATTTTAAGCAATGGACATAATAAATGGAAGCATATAGACGTCTTGCTTAGTTAATAAAATTCAAATCCACAAAAGAATTGAATGTTACATCACAGTTTCCGTAGTTTTCCGATGCAACAAACTGACAAATTACTTCAAGAAATTGGCTAAAGGCTGTATCGCTTTAAATTCACGGCGGTTTAACTGTTTGATAAAGTGCGATCTTCTAGAGGCCCCTAACAATAAACTACAGATATTTTCACGACTTTCAAGATTTTTATTGTATATAAGATCATTTTAAAAGGTTTCTAGTTCAATTATATGATAAATAAGCTGTTTAAGTAATTTCTGTGTCGACGGTCGTCGTTATAATAGACACCTTCGTAAATTTAAACCTTTCAACTTAACACGCTCTAGGGCATTTCACATCTATAAAAATGAAAGAGAACTCGATGAAAAAAAATCCCACAGTTAATTGAAGTTTTTTTACTTGAATAGCGCTGGCAAAAATGCATTATTTTGGGGTGACATCTCTTTGTGAAATATCACACGCGTTTTTTGGAGTGAAAGGATGAAACGACATAAAACTTTGTAAATAAGAGGACATAGAAGAAGGGTTTAAAAGCGAAGGATTTTTTAGTCTATACTACCTAATGTTTGATCATGAGGAAGGTTATAATATGAAGGTAGGTGATAGTGATAGAAATCATGTCAGTGGCTAATATGATATGTTTGCTGTAGTTGAATGGAGGTGATTGAATTACGTTTTATACTGTATGGTAAAATATTTAGTTTGTATGTCTAACTATAAATTTTCCTTGTAGTAATCTGGGGAAAATATATTTATTCCAAAAAAGTACATTCTTTTTTGTGTGTGGGATAGAATTAATTACTATAGGGGAAGGGCCTGTTACTTTTGAGTCTGTTTGATCGAATCGTTGATAAATTAAGGTCCGGTCTTATGATATTTAGTTGTCTTAAACATTAGAGATGAAATTGAGAACCACCATAAGAAATTTCGTGTTTTTTGTTTTGTTTTATGAAGTTTTGTTTTGTTTTGTCGATTTTACTAGATACATACATGCTTTATTGCTTGTGAATGAGCATGGCGCGATGAGAGTGAACTTTTATTTTCTTTTGAAACAGTTTTTCTCAATGGTATTTTATTTGTGTCAACTATGCTTGTATTACGTTTTGAATGGTTGTACGCGCGGCACGGCTCAGACAGATGTCTATTATTGTGTCGATAAATACACGTATATAAGTAATAAATCTTTTTCTATTTTCTTTCAGGATTGAATTGATAGACGGTAAAAATAAACGAATTACGAACAGTTGCTTTACCTTATGTTTTGTCTACATTGATTTTGTGAAGAGAGGGGAATGCAGGTGACACTGTATTTTACCAAAGAATATATACGGGAAGTTCAAGAGCTAAAGGTGTAACGTGATGGACTTGTTTACTTTCAACATTAGATGAATAGACAACCAACGTGTACCTTCAACTGATGGCTAGGAACGACGGCTTCTCGCAAATTTACACAACTTTCTACACAACAAAAAAATATAGACATTGAAGGTTCTTTACCTCTCTTATTTCACCCTTGACTTGTTTATAAGTTTGAACCGAGAGGGTGGAGAATGAACTTGAATTCCATAGCAAGAAAAAGAAAATCTATAGTATCATTACTGCCTTGGAGACGTTTGGAGCGCTAATATTCTTAACAGGGATATGTAAAGATCGCAAGCGATGAACATACAAAAGCGTCATGTGGCGGCTTATACAATGTGTGTTAGTAAATTTAGCTCAAGTGAATAACCAAACATTTCTAAGCAGTTAATGTGGTTAAACTTTATGTAAAGATGGGTTTTGTGGTTTATATATTAATATCTCTAATAACTCATCTAGTAGAACTAGGATTGAACTGTTTTCTAGCCTATTCTCTATGGTTAGATGTCGAATTGCGTGTTTGGTTTAGTCTAATTTCAGGACTTTTAATCATACCCTTAGTAACAGTTCAACTCGTATCCGCCATATTGCTACTCCAGCGCCAAAAGGAAAACTTGGCGTCATGGCGGCTAATTTTAATGGCGTTTACTCACGTAATGCTACTTGGTTTCCATTGGCGCCATTTTTCTATTTTATTAGAAAAGGACGTGAATAAAAAGAAGAAGGACCTGGCTGAATTGTGTTTATTGAGATTTATTTATACATTTACCTCAAGTTTACCATTATTACTTATAATATCTTTTTTATTACTTGGTGGTTTTACGGGTTCCATATTGCTGATACTGTTACTTTACGCGGCCATTGGGACTACTTTAATTTCATCTTCATGGGCAATTGCTAGTTATCAAAGGTTGAAACAATCGAGTGAACAGGTAGAAGATATGATTCCGATATGTTGTGGTACATTTTTCCGTTTTTTGTGGCGAATGGGGGAAATTACTGCACGTATACTATCTTTGGTCCTATTTGCAACTCTCTATCATCATTGGATATATTTAGTGCTGACTCTACATTGGATTACTATGTGCCTCTGTGTTTTTACATCTGTGTTAGCAGGAATTAGTGGAACCGGGTGTTATCGTGTTGTTAAGGGAATGATTACAGCATATGTGTATATATTCTGTTTTATTAATATCAACAAGAATAACTCCACGTTCCGTTATTCATTCTTCTACATCATTATGGTTTTAGAAAATGCTACATTATGTGCTGTTTGGATGTTAATGGACGATTATCCGATATATTACTTTGTATATATAACAATTGGCGCATCCTTGGTTTGCATTGCTTCCATGTGCATTTATTATAAATTTTTCCATAGGCGAACTCATCATTCGGATGAGGACCACAAAGAAGATATGTGCCCAAACAAAGATTGTATTAACTGTAAACTAAGTCTGTGTGTAAAACATAATAAAGAACTACAGAGACCATTTAACCCGGGTTGGTTGAGTCAGTACCAATCAGGTCTGACTGAGGAGCAATTTTACAAATATCTACTCCAGGAGTCGTTCGTGGAATCATCAGTACCTGGGGACAGAAATTCTACCATAAGTACAGCTTTGTCTAATCCTAACATAGATTTTAAGAATCTAGAGACAATGTCAGACGAAGAGCGCCGATCGGTTATTAGTTTCTTAACCTCGAGGAACTATGTTCATAGACAGTTTATGGAACAATCGGACCATCTCCCTGGCTACGATTGGTCTGATTATACCACTGACACACCGAGTACTAGTAACGAACGTTTCTCGTGTTCCAGCAGCGATACCGACTCGTCTCCCAGTGGTTTGTGGCCGGAACAGGACAATTATGTTCCAAAATTATCCGTCTTGTTAACCGAGGATTGTGATGCTATTCAAGAGACTAAACACGGGCAAATTTATCTTAAACGTCTGGACTCCTTTCATTCGCTTTTACGGCGAGACGCCCATAATATGCAGGTTCTTAATGCTGGTAGTGATAGAAATTTGCAATGGTCTCAACTTCCTGTTACAATGTTGGATCGCCGGAAGTATACAGTGCCTTGCGAAAATGAAACTGATTCCTGTTCATCGGATCCAACTGTCAGAGACGCTAGTGCGCGTACAAACGTCCGTAAAGCTAACAAAAGAAACAAGAAGCGCGTTGAAGGACGTTCTGAGACAAGGGGTGATAATTCATCCAACAAATCAAAAAGTAAAAATTACAAACTTAAGAGAAATGTGGGCTACGTAAATGAAGATAATAATGTTTACATGGAAATGCGTGTGCCAGTTAAAAAACTGCCAGCTGTTTACGAAAATGTGGCTTATATGGACGAAATTTTGACTGAGCCCTCGAAAGTGTTTAAGGTAGTTGAGACAAGCGAGAACAGTAAGGCGCCATGGTATACGTGTAGTGAATCCGGAGATAGTGCCTTACCTACAGAAACTTTTAGTTCTACGAGTAACTGTGGTTTAACGGATGTTGACAATGATAGTCATTCCAGTAAGGAATTCATGATCTAAATAATGTTTACCTGCCTTAAAGGAGAAGTACAGTCGTTGCAATTCTGTATATGTTATTCATTATCTAATATTAAGATAGTTTCTTCAATGCAGAACCCAAAGTACGAAACATTTGGCTGAGAGCAGTGCCATGAGGATAATTTTCTCCCATTGCTAAAGGCCCCCACGTGCAAGAGAATTATTGAAATAAAACTCCCCCCCTCTCTCTCTCCCTCTCTCTCTCTCTCTCTCTCTCTCTCTGATATAAGAGGATTATGGCACGTGCAATGCGTTGCTTGTTTACTGCGGAGATGATTGGTTGAAATTGTTTCAATACTAGATTATGAATATAATACCTACAATCTGCAAGGACAGGACGTTTCCTTTAAAGGGACAATAACACTCTTGCTGGCTTGAAAGCTCTAGAAAATAAATAATATCTCTATCTAAGTACTAGATGTTTAAGTGTCCTACCTGTTGTGTAAATTATCCATTACATCCTATTTTACTTGTCCAGAGGGTACGAAAATATGTTTAAATCGAAGTTTCATTTGAAAAGGTTTACGTTAGACGTTTCAAACCATTATGTTGAATTTTTCAAAATTTTTAAATAAGGTGTGTTAAGATGAAATTTGTATCATCAATTAATTGAAATATTGTAAAATAGTACAATTTGTTGACCAGAATAAAGATTGGGACATATTATTCAGTTACAACAAGAGTGGTATTGAGCCTTTAATAAACTTGATTATAAAACTAAATTAATATTTAATGTGCTATAGTTTTGTTTTATTGTTGAGATTATTTGTTTTACTACCTCACATATCATGTACATTCTACTTACATATTCAAGATACTTTCCCACAAAATTATTCATCGGGTGGTTATGGAGCGCTTGGTGTATATGTTGATAAACTTGATGGTGAGTGGACGTGGAAAAAGTGAGAGACTTAAACTTGCATTAGTTTCCGAGAAAAAAAAAACACGGAAAAGGACGTGGGCCGTGGATAATTCGAGAATTTACTTAGGCTTCGATATGTATGATAAATGGACAGTGATTAAAGAAAACATTGTCTTTTATATGCAATGAATTTCCCCCCGGCTTCGCAACCCTTCCTAGGTACCGCGACAGCCAAGTCACGTGACACAAACATGACTTCTTTTAGTAGGTTTTTTTTATAGCGTGGGGTATTTCCTCGTGAATACAATATTTTGAGTGGGATTTGAAGCAAATTTCTGATAGATTAATAAGTTTGAATATGTTTTTAGTCCAAATATATCACCAAATCTAAATGCTAAATTTGCTTATATTGCAGTTGTTTATTTTGGCTCCAAATGCTATATAAACTATTATTGAGGCATTTATTAACATGACAAGAGAAGACCATAATCAACTCTCTAGACCATTGGTGGCAGAGATTTAAATGGATTAAAGCGTCCGCTAAACTAAAAAAATTACCGATCAAATGGATAATCAAAACTAGGTCGTGTTTGTCAAGTACCTTTCCTGCCATAAACAATCTACACTACATCTCCCAAAACTCATAACATTATTTAGAATAAAGTAATTTGAATGAGATTTTCAATATATTCATTTTCCATTATATATTTTTGAACTAATATAGCAAGAACGGCCACCGCTTTATCTAAATTTTACATGATGATCTCTATTAGCCATTATTAAATAGCGAGAGGGTTCTAATCCATTCTATATTTAAGCCATCTGATCGCCTATTTTATTACACAATAATTGACAAATTAATTGAAAGTCACCGGAAAAGCATCAATTTTTTTTAAATAATGCAAGTACACTTTGTTGAACCTTGTAGACGCTCTCATGACAAAAGTTATCAACAGATCTGTATTAAAATTTATTTGCATTATTTATATTAGTAAAATGATGAAGCCTATTGAATTCAGCAATTTCCGTTAATTACTCCGACAGTTATAAACCTTGGTTTACTTTGTTCAACTTTGCGAATGCCCTAGCAACAAAATTTATCATCCGAACTGTATGGAATTGATATCAGATTAAAAGAATAAATATGCGACAACCCTGGTCGACTGCTCAGCAGATTTAGCGGCGGTAGGCTTATGTTTCGTTGCCTGGCAACATATCTGTAACTATTGTAGCGAGAACTTTCAGCTCTTTATCTAAATCTTACATAATGCACATTTAATATAAATACAAGTATCCAGCCTTTAGCATATACAGATATTTAAATCCCCTTCGCACCAAGTCCTCAATTCGTGGCAGTCAAGGCTGAACAGTCATCGCAACACCAATCTTCTACCTAAATTGTTTCAATGGCATTTAGTAATTGAACTGGAATACACGGATCAAAATTCTATAGAATACAATTACTGCTTATACTTGGGTGACGCTTCGACTAGGTTTCTTTAGTCTTTATCAAGCAGTAATTGTATTCCGTAGAATTGTGACCTGTATAATCTTCTACCTGTCGGAATATATAAGTACGATGTGATAGTTATCAAATCTATAGCCTTAAATTCAGCAGTTCATATCATCAGTTATGAACTGATCATCGGGTTTTGATGAACTGAGGAATTAGGCTATTCCACTACGGGTCCCACTCAATCCAGCACGCTCACAACTAGACAGTAGCTGATCTAGAAGCTGTAAATAGGGAGGGGGGGCATATCTAGGGCGTCATCCATAACCTCGCCCCCAATAAATGTCAACAAGATACTGGCTATAACACTGAGTACGTAACCCGGTAGAACGCAAATCGTATTGTCTAGCCGTTGCTAGGTTAGTCTTGAATTCCCAAACATTTTGGACCGTTATCTCCCTTTACCACATATATGGGATACTAACACATAAAGGTAGGGTGACCCGTAGAGTGAAAATTTTCTCTACAGAAAGTTGGACTCGACACAGCGAATGTGCACGCTTCAGTGACTTGTCTCGAAGTGATTTCTGTTTAACCACGCACTATATGAGATATGGTCTCAGCTTTCATTTGTATGCCGATGATACTCAATTATATATTTCATTTACACCTAATTGTCCATCTTCTTTCAATTTATCAAATATCAATTAAGTAAATCTGCACAAGATAACCCCCCTGTTGTAATTGGTAATTGTGATATATTTTCATCTTATTCTGTTCGCAATATTGGCGCTATCTTTGATAGTTTTATGCTTATGGGAGCTCAAGTAAATAATATTTGTAAATTGTGCTATTTTAATATTAGAAATATAGGTAAAATACGTAAATGTGTAACTGTAGAGGCCACTAAGTCACTTGTTAATTCTCTGGTCACTTCTCGATTAGATAACTTTAATTCACTTTTAATTGGTTTACCTTTAAAGCTTATAGATAAATTACAAAAAGTACAGAATACTGCGGCTAGACTTGTTACTTTAACTAAGAAATGTGACCACATAACTCCTGTTTTATATAATTTACACTGGTTAAATATAGAATTGATTTTAAGATTTTATTACTTACTTTTAAATGTTTAAATAATTTAGCTCCTGTTTACCTCTCAGATCTTTTAGAACTTTATACACCTGGCCGAACATTACGTACATCAGATAAACTACTTTTAAAGCCCAAAACTGTTCAACTAGTCTCTTATGGTCAGCGCTCTTTTAGTTATCAAGCACCTGTTTTATGGAATAATCTACCATTTAGTTTAAGATGTTGTACATCTCTATATTCTTTTAAAAAACAACTTAAAACACATTTATTTAATCAGGCTTTTAACTGACTCTGTATACAAACGTTAACATGCCCATAATCTTGTTGTTTATGTGTGATTTACATTGTCACTTTGTAAAGTGCCCATGAACATGTTATATGAAAGGGTGCACTATAAATATGCTGTAATAATAAATAATAATAATAATAATAAATAGCCATCGCACGTGCAATTCTCTACACATCTATCAACTATTACAGCCGTAAAAGAAAAATCTTTTGTTGACGATTCTGAATAGCAGTAAAATTTACCCTTTTGTTTTGGTTATTACAGCAGCTTTAGAAATTACGTTCGTTTTATGTTTTGAATTGCTTTATCATTAATTGTACCGTTAGGCGCGGCATCTTTTGGTTTAGTACAAATAATATCTCTGAAACACTTTATTTAGGCAAGGACATGATACTAGCAGTAGTTTCATTTTACTTTTACAAGGTTCTTAAAACAATTGTTGAGTTGCTTAACGTGCTTGTTTCTAAATTCAATTTCTTGTTCCAGCTTTCTGTTATGTTTCGTAAAAAAGTAGTCTTGATTTTCCCGGCCTATCAATCAGACGTAGAATGGTCGGTAGACTGGTTAACCGAGACTAAGTTCAAAACAAGGGCACGTAACCTATTTTTTGCTCACAAGTGCCCGGATGTTATGGCCGACACTCGTAACCATCTTTCAGTGTATTATTTATAGATGGTTAAATGGTCATAGCTTATTAAGTATAACATGACCGTTTATTTAATGATTATAAATGTGCGAAACTGATTTAAGGCTTGGTATATATATAAATATTGTGGTGTAATTGTCGAGATATTTGGAGATATTTATTTATGGTGGGTCACCCTAATAAAAGAATAGTTAAGTTTACAGCCTCTGAAAGATTTTTTTTTATTTGCAAAACTCACCGAAAACTGTTTCCCATTGTCAGTGGTACAGGACGGAGGGACTGGCAATGAAAATCGTCTAGACTCTAGTTCTTCGAATGGATGAAAAGCCGAGGTTGGTGTGCACGTATAAGTTCCCTCTCCGATGAAGACAAAATGTCCCCCAGAACAGTCTGCATAGCGTATCGGCGGTTCTTGCAAAATATCGGACGTTAAATTCTATCCTATTTCATGTTTTGCTTGGGGTGTGATATGTATGTTGTATTTAATTGCGCTTTATTGACTAATTAGATAATATATTTCACACTTTAAAAGACATATAGAGAAATTTATTACACTATAATTGACAAATTATTCAAAATTTTCGAAACATAAAAAACATTTAGCGATATTTAGCCTATTTATTACACTATAATTGACAAATTAATTAAAATTTTCCACACCAAAACTTAACTGCAAAATTTTAATTTTCAGAACATTTTTTTTATTAAAAATGAACTGATAATCGTCGTAAAACATGTGAAAACACTACCGTTTTGATTAATCGAACTGTGTTTTGTTAATAGGACTTGTCAAAATCAATTAGTGAACGGTAAATATTTTTAATTTTCTATATTAAATTTTGGCAGCTTGTTAATGTATACAACGCTATAAACAACGATATTACGTGTATGTTTTAGGTCTTGATTTGATTTTTTTACTTAAATAGTACATAAACAATTTGTAAAATTAAATCCCGTTTTGAAACTAATGTTAAAGATGCATTATCTAAGATCTAAATCTGCCTAATGCAGATTTTTTTTTTTTTTTTTTTTTTTTTTTTGGGGGGGGGGGGCGGTTTAAATGTTGTATAGATCAATAATTCGATATTTGATCATCGTATGGATTTGATTTTCAAATGACTAAACACAATGGACAGCTAATAAATAAATTATAAAGTGGACAATCGAGACTTTGTAGCAACGACGATCAAGACTACGCTGTTCTTCAATCGGCCATAATTCAGCTTAGAATAAAGTAATTTGACCGAAATGTGCAACAAATTCCCTTTTCATTATGTATTTTTATACACGCCCGTCCGTCCGTCGTCCACAATGTCTTGTGAACGATCTGACGACTAAAGTTATCATCCAATCTGTATTAAATTTACACATTGTTAAACCTTGTAGACGCTCTAATGAGAAAAGTTATCAACAGATCTGTATTAAAATTTATTTGCATTATTTATATTAGTAAAATGATGAAGCTTATTGAATTTAGCAATTTCCGTTAATTACTCCGACAGTTATGACCCTTGGTTCACTTTGTTCAACTTTGTGAATGCCCTAGCAACAAAAGTTAGTAATCATTCGATCTGTATGGAATTGATTTCAGATTATTAGTGTCTTATAAATGCTCCCATTTCATAAAAGAATAAATATGGGACAACCCTGATCGACTGCTCGATTGTAGCGAGAACTTTCAGCTCTTTATCTAAATCTTACATAATGCACATTTAATATAAATACAAGTATCCAGCCTTTAGACTTTAGCATACAGGTATTTAAATCCCCTTCGCACCAGGTCCTCAATTCATGGCAGTCAAGGCTGAACAGTCATCACAACACCAATCTTCTACCTAAATTGTTTCAATGGCATTTAGTAATTGAACTGTCTTACACGGATCAAATTTCTATAGAATACAGTT